GAACCAGGGATTGAACTCGGGCCCTTGTGCTTGCCAAGGAAGCACTTATTCTACTGAACCACCTCCCCACCCCTAGATCAGGAATTTTGATAGGGTTCAGGCAGGGCATTCTTTTCCTTATGGTACTGATGGGTCACTCACTGACCTGCCTTCAGCTTGATGTGGCTGAGCAGCCCAAGAAAGTTCATAAACATGTATATCACCTCAATGCTAGCTTCTCCTGTGTTTTTTCTCTCCGCATATTCTCTCTTAAGTATTGTAGCATGAACATTTTACAGCTTGGGTAGTCTTCTTCCTCTAGGGAAAGCAAAAGTTAGCAGGCCTCTTAAACTTACCCACAATTGTTACAGATTAACTTCTGCTGTGGTCTCTTCATCAAGGCAAGTAATAAGGCCAGGCTAGTACCAAGGCCAGTTGAGGGTTTGGGGAGTAGGGAGACAGTACCTCCTCTAATGAGTGGAGCAACCTGCATATTGAGAGTGAAAAGGAGTTGAGGCTGGCCATATCGAGACTGTGTCAACCATAGCTAACTAATATATGTGTATTTTGTTCTTTGATATCTGTAGTACCTGACAGAAAAGTAACTCCATTCAGACTTACACAGAGAACCAGAAAAATGCCCTGAAATGCCTTATCCTTTTTCACCTTAATGCCCAACTGAAGAATTAGAAAGATAGTATTATCTACCCTACACAGTCCCCTGTTGTTATGGCTTGAATCAGGAATGTCTCCCAGGGTCTTCATCCATTCATTGACTGGGGTTTTGGAAGGTGACTGAGCTGAGGAGCACTGTACTCTTCCATGGACTATACACAAATGATTTCAGAGCTAAATGTGCTATAGGAAGGACTGGTTGGAAGAGGTGGGTCACTGGGCAGGTGACCTGGAAGGGCATATGCTACTTCCCTCCCTCTCACATCTTCAGTCTGTTTCCTGAGCACAGTGACATGAGCAGCTTTCTTCCCTTATTCCCTTCAGCAGTGTAGTTTCTGCCTAGCAACCAGCAACCAGGGATTATAACCATAAACCAAATTAAGCCTCTTCTCTTTCAAGTTGTAAGTGTTGGGTATTTGTCCCATTGACAGGAAAATGACTTAAGAACCTGTGATCATCCTTTGCCTGAGCTGCTTCTGATGGCATTTGTTCTGGGGAACAGGACAAGAGGATGCTGCACTTTGTAGGATGTATAAAGAACATGATTAGTGCTTGTGTAAACCTACAGTGCACATTTCACAATATATTTTTAGAGTTATATGAGTTTTGTGTTAGGCATTTCGATCCATACTCCTGAGGTCAGGGTCTCCTGGCAGCAGTGTTTTTCAGGCTTTATAGGTGTACTGATAAAATGGAATATACCTTCAAATAAGTTTTTAAACTATTAATTTCCATATGCAAGTCAAACTGTACTTAGTCTCTAAAAGCTATGAGAATGGCATACCTCAGTAGGTTTTTCTTCTTTCTTGTTAAAGATACAGAAGATTTTTTTGTGAATGGGTAAGCATCTAAAAGTAGAAAATCCGTTTTCTGGCCTATGCCAACTCTGGCATCATCCTTTCTCTGTATTCCTTCTAACCAGGTTTAAAATATCTCAAATAATGAGGATTTTTTTTCTTTCTCCATTAAAAACTGCCATAATCATATAAATGTGCTTGACAATACTTTCACTTATATTTTTTCCTTAAAAAAAAAACTTCATCCTTTTGTTATAGTTAGACTGTCTTTTACAACTCTAATAATTATTGAACCTAGAATACTCCTTCCTAGAAACAAATGACATGTTCTATTGCAAGAGAGGATATGTAAGATCAAAAGTGATGCTGGGGCAGAACTCTTCTAAGTGCTTTGGGAAATCTCACTTTTTAAGATATAAAATTTATCTAGACAATGAAGATTTATCTTATATTGTTACAGCAATTTTAGGTTTTCTGGAGGTGAAGAAACTAAGTGGCACTTGGAAAAGCAGAGGGAATCAAGCTTTATTATACTAGCAGGCCCAGGGGCTTTGGCACTCTAAAGTCTGAGCCCTAAACCTGGGCTAAGCATGATAGCCGTGTATAGGACCTGTGGTGGGAAAAGGCAGACAAGCTAAGGTAAGAAGGCAACAGGTGTACAGCTCTGTGCATCTGGGTGGTCTTGGCCAGCTGGGGAGTGAGACAGCAGGATGCAGTTGAAACTGTTTGCTTGTGAGGCTAGGGTGCAGCTGGTACAGGAAAAGGGGGAGTGTCAGCAGGGGGCATCAGCTGAAAAGTTTCCTTTCCCCAACAATATAAATGGAAATCTTTAGTTTCCCATGTGTGTGGGAGAAAAATTCAGTGTTTTTGTACCTTTTGCCTAGAAGTATAATCCACTTAAATCCGATTTACCTCTTCAATTTGTGTTGCTCAATATTTGTTGGCGATATTTTATGGTAAAGTGTGTGCTAATATTGTTTGGTCAATTTTTCATGCCTGTATCTTGTACTCTGAGAAGCTACTTTGAAGATAACAATACGTGTTGTATTAACTATTGCTACTTACCTATTGTTTGAAATTTTATTGCATTCTTTTTGTTTCTCTTTAAACAATATTTGATGTACTGTTTCGTACAAAGTTATATGCGTAAACACTTAACATGGCAAAAAAAAAAAAAAAAATCTAACTCAATTAGGAATAGTCCAGACTTCTTAAATTTTCATTTTACCCTGGTGATGGCAGTGGTAGATTTTTGTTATTTGCTATTTTCTTTATTTTATCTAGGCTTAAAAAGAGATTGTGCCCCTATAAAATGGTCCAGATCACTCACAACTTTGGGGATGTTATTTGAAAATATTTTTGAATTCCCATATGTTTATTCTTTTCATTTAGGAAGAAGAATTAGAAGCCCAGATCTCCTTCCTTCAAGGACAGTTGAATGACCTGGACGCCATGTGCAAGTACTGTGCTAAGGTGATGGACACTCATCTTGGTGAGTAGGCTACACTGGTGCAGGGAGCAGATGACTGTAGCAGTAACAGCTATAGCATGACGGCGCTGCCCCTGCATGGAGCTCTGGACATGGAATTACCTCATTTATTCCTGCAACAGCGCCTAGTAGAACTATTGTTACCACCTGCAATATACAGATGAGGAATCCCAGGGACCAGTACAGTTGCCAAGGTCTCACCAGTACTGAGTGGAGTGGCAATTCACATTCACGCAGTCCGACTGTAGATTTCAGTTCCCCACTGCTACACTGCCTTTCGCAAATGTCAGTCTGGCTCTAACCAAAATGAAATGTTGAAATTTCAAGTTCAAGCAATCAGCAGTTTTGCTGTGGAAGCCTGTCTATAATCACTATTATGGTTATTTTAACAATTATTTATTTTTTTAATATAAAGTTATTTTTATCACCTATCATAAATCAGGACCTTCTGACTGTGCTCTTAGAGAATGTTCTAGTTTGAAGTTCATTTAAATGTGTATGTAGGGGCTGGGGAGATAGCTCAGTGGAATAAGCACTTGCCTGGCAAGCTCAAGGACCTGAGTTCAATCCCCAGTTCCGCAAAAAAAAAAAAAAATGTGTATGTACTGGTCACATTAGAAGGTACTCAGGTGCTGCTACTCTTTTTTTTTTTTTTTTCAAATTTTTTTTCATAATTTTATTGAGAAACAAATAGCAATGAGACAGTGTCAAATCAAATTGGTAGGACAGTTTCAATAATTAACACACTGCATACATTCTTCCTAGTGGTTAATTGCTGTACAAGATGCGGACATGATATTCTATTTACAAACACAATTAGAACAAATCCCTCTATTCATTAAGAGAATGTAACTATTATCTATCCTAGCCACTTTGAATACACAGATACAAAATGGACATTCATCTGTATCCCCTTTTTTGGTTAAGTTCCTTTATTTGAATATTATAGGTGTGTTAACTCAGCAAAATATTCTAAAAGAGTCCAGTAGCCCATAATAATATTGGGTCTTCCACTTGGCTGGCAGTGTCAGAAATTGTTGGCCTGAGTCCCCTACAGCTCAACATAACAGCATGGCTTTACTTCTTATACTTCGTTTTTATACTTTTCTGCTGGATGGTTAAGACCAAGGTAAAGCAGGACCTGTGCAACAAGAGTTGTAGCTTTTGGGTCTGAGAAGGTCAGTGAAATCCCCTCAGGATTTATCCTGAGATCCTGTACCTCAGATTGTAGAACCTTTGTCAGTGTCAGCCATGTGAATGAGTCACAGCCATTGCTTGGCCAATGTGCTCTCTGTGAAAGCCTGAGAGAATGTTTTCTCTCCATGGGACTCTCCTTAGGCACACTCTACATCATCGATCACTTTCCTCTTTTGGCCCATAATCTCCTTGATCAGAAAATTTGGGACACTACCGAGTTACATGATGTAACAGTACAAGTTCTCTTATAAAGACTCCATGTTCTGTATTAGAAACAGTTTCTGCCAGATCATGTTGTATTGCTTCCATAATTCTATGCTGTCTGCAAAAGGTTTTGTTGTGTATATTGTTACTTCTTTTCAACACAGATGGGGAATGTCTTTTTTAGTGTCTAGCCATATTTAGTTTGGAGACCAATTAGAGCAGTAAGATACGTATTCTTATGAACAGATCCATGTATAGCACCAGGAGTGTATAGAAATGGCAGTGCCAGATATTGCAGGAAACTAAGCTGCATCTCGCCTCTGAGGAAAAATCAGTGACTCCAACATGGCCCTTCCTCCTGCAGAGCCCTGGGAGTAGCCCATTTCTGGAGTCTCACTTGAGATGACTGTCTCACCCATTAAGCCATCTGTGAGCCTGTTAGGTTAGGAATCCATTCCAAGTGGCTAAAACGGGTATAGATGAAACCATAGTAAAAATAAATAAATCCATAGTGACCTCAGTCAAGTCATAAACATCCTACTAAGGATTTGGAAAGATGTGGCTGAGTGACAGGCTGCCTCCTCACTAGCTGGGCCCTGTTTTATTCTTAGCTTTATTGCTACTGTCTGCACCGCTCCTTCAAGAAAAGGGCTCAGGGGTCAGGGAGATAGCTTAGCAGTCTAAAGCGCCTGCTTAGGCAAGCTTAAGGAAGCACCGGGACCTCGGTTTTGATCCCAGGCACCACATACCTCGCCAGCCACGCCCCCAGGGCAGGCTGAGCTGGCCGCAGAAAAGGGGGAGGGGTCAAGAGAAAGAAATGGCAGAAGAAACCCTGACAGATGATCAACAGGTTAGTATCTCAAGTCACAGCAGGGAACTTTATGCCTGTCATATCTGATTCCATTCCCATCTAAACTCTCATTATTCATGTTTAAAGTCATTTAAAACGTATACGACTAAGTTTTATGAATCTCTTAATGTCTAAGATAATCACTTTAAAATTCATCAAAAAGTGATTTCATGTGAATGACATATATATATTTATGTAATTTGGTTTAAATATAATTTTAATTTTAAAAAGAGAAAGTGTGTATGTATGTGTGTTTCTGCTTTTCTGGCTACTTGAGTAACCTTTGCATTATTTGATTTTGATGTTGACCAAAGTAGGAAAGCAATGAAATGATTGGAAGAAAGATTTACTGGAACTTTAGAAAATCCTGGTAGGAAATCTCTAAATTGTTTGGTCCACAGCAGCAGATTTTAAAGCAGCTTTACATAAGCTCAGAATTTTCAAGCAGCTTTTGCTCTGTTTTGATCCTTTCAATCAGCACTAAAAGAGTTTTCTCATTGTGTTGCGAGAGGGTAACACTTCAGTTAAGTAAAGGCCACACAGCTATGAATTTTCAACTAACTGCAAAACTAGATTTGTTTCTGTGCATGTTACACTTTCAGCCAAAATCCCTTCACATAATTGTCAACTTTTTCTTATATAAATAGCATAACTGCATTTTTTAAATGGAATTGAGGGAGGCTAGAAAGAATCCCTAGCCCACAGACACATTTCCCTTTATCTGCATAATTTAATAATGACTTATGAAAAGGATGCTATTTGATAGGACATTTTGTTTGTTTGTTTTTGATAGGACATTTTGAGTGTAACAAAATATTTGAGGAGACCACCAGAGTGATCCACATGAAGCTCTTGATTTCTTTTTGTACCGGGAATCAAACTCAGGACTTCATGCTCAACAGACAGGCGCTGTGCTGCTGAGCTATTTTCCAGTCCCTCTTAAATTGCTTTTGGACTCATGCTTTCTGAAAAATGATTTTAATATCCTAGTATTTTTCATTGTGATGATTTTGTACTTCTGATTGTTAAAGTAGAATAGAATGACTGAAATATCCATTAGTAAGGGATTTTCTATAACATAGTAATATAGTCTTTCTAAGGATTATAATACTTTTTAACTTAAGCTCATCGTAGCTTAAGTTTTTAGCAGGCACTTAAACAACTGGACTAACTGGCAGGCCCATAGCTTAAATTTTAAAAAATCAGGTGTCCAAACAGTATATATTTAATGTGAAAATAACCACTAACAGCATTTGTCTTGGTAAAAGGAAAATTATAGAGAAATTTTCCAAGAAACTCAATATCTTATGCTTAGAAAATGATTGCTTAAATTTATAGAAAGTTTAAGAGCATATAAACAGCTCTCAGGGATCAGTCTGTACAGATCAGGCTAGAAGCAGGTGTAAGAATAGTATGTCTTGTGAGATCAGATGGACCTAGATAGGATCTAGGCTCTTGTCACATAGCGTAGCCAGCTTATGAGTATGTCCTCATATATGAAGTGGAGAGAAGAATGCCTGTCTTGCCAGTATGTTTCCAAAATACAGTTTTTATTTCTAGCACCAGGCATGGCCCAGAGAGCAGAGTCAGTGGGAATCATCTATTTTCTTAACTTGTTTTTCTTAGGAAGAAACCTAAGGCTTATCCAGTCCACGGCCACACAGCTCAGTACTGAGGCTCCACACAAAGTTAGTGGAAGGGCTAGAACTAGTACTACATTTCCCAGTGCTCAGATGAATATTCCCTTATCAAAAGATGCTGCAATTCTGACTTGTTGGTGCTAAGATTAGGTGTATGAGATCTTAGCACAAAAATAATCTTAATCACATCCCTTTGTGACATGGGGACAGTTAACCGTCCATGTGCACTGGGCCTCACACTACCAACATAGCTGTGAGGACTGTCTCAGGCTGATTGTAGGAGTTATTTTTTGCATCCTTTTTAAGTCTCAAGAGAACTCCTTATCACCCTGTGTTTCTATCAGATGTGCAATAAATATCTTAAAGCATCAGGTACTATTCAAGGCTGTTTTTGTAACTGATTAGCAGAACAAATACAGAGAACAGCCTCTTAAAGAAACATAATAGTGTTTGTTCAAATGGCCCTTTAGTAAATGCATAACAAAATTGACAGGCTAAGTATATTTACTCACGGCTCTAGAACCCAAACTGCAACGGTATTTGTTTTGCAAAACTTTACCAGAATTCTAATTTTATTACCTCCAAGTAATGGAACTATTTGAAATCCAAAGATTTAAAGCCTAGAATTGAAAATTAATGCTTTATTAAATCTAAACTTTTCCTGTCAACTTCAAAAGATTTTTTTAATGTGTTCATCTTTCTGTTACTATAGTTACTCACCCTTCTTGTCATCCTGACAGTTGAGTTGAAAGCCACTGACAGTCTTAACTTCTGTGATACATCAGGCTATTTTTAGGTTTTCCAACCTTCACTCCTAATTGCGCGTGGGTGGCAGCCTGTACCTGCCTGACCTAGGAGCAGCTGGGCCATGCTGCAAACTGTTTACAGCAGGCACTTAAGCTGCTCACCCTGCTGGACTCTCATGCCCATGCCAGCCTGCTTGGAGTAGAGGCGTTTCCATCAGTTTTCTGACACTTAGACACTTAAATTTCCAACAGCTTGTCTTTTCACTGATGGCCTACACATGCAATGGGAGGATTAAACACAATGAGAAAGAAATAAGTGAATAATGGAAATATGTGTTTGTGGCAGGTGCTGTAGCTTATAGGATTTTAGAATATTAAAAATGGAAAAACCCTGAAAGACTTCAGAAAAAATTATTTCATAGATATGAAGACCAAGGCCCAAGGAAGATGAATGACATAGCTATCTAGGCAAGAACATGCAGACCCCAGTTAGTCCAGGCTTCTCTTTCACAGGTGACAGTACTCATGGAGGCGCTCTTGGGACAGTGTGTGGCCATATAGGACTGAAGCAGGGAGTCCCAACCTTCCGCACTGGGCTGGGGACATGCTGGCAGTTCCCCAGGCTATTTCTTTTACTCTTTATAGCACCCTATGGGGAAGCATTCTTCCTGCTTTGCAGACAGGAGGAAGGTCAGTGCTTTGCCCAGCTCCACTCTAGGTGTAAGTAAGTGCTACTCCTGCCCATTTTTGTTGCCCCTGAGAAGGCTTGTTATCTTTTACACCAGCCATTTAAAACATTTAGATTAAAAACTTTTAATTATAGCACCAAAAGCTATATGAAGTTAAGAAATTGAAAAAGTAGTTCATGTGCCATTTCTATTGCCTTTAAAAGCTAAAAGATCTTTTTTGTGGCTTTCATATATCATTACAAACAGCAAGATTTTTGAGATTTTTATGAGTAAATTGTACAGAGGTAGTTATGTGACTTTTTTCTCTTTAGTTTCAGTGTTAGAGTGATTGTAATGTATAGTACTTTACCATCAGGAGATAATAAAACTATAATCTTATACACAGAAACAAGAAAAACACAGAACGTTTCTAGGATAATGTATTCTACCTTTTTCTGTGATAAGTCATGTGTTGTGTTGAAATTCTAAATGTTTTGCATTTTGGTCTTTACTACTTAAAGGCAAGAAAATATTTTTTTCCATGCAGATGAACTTACATAAAATAGTAGACTTATTACTAGGAAATTGTATGTTAGTAGTGTTCATAAATGCTACCTTAAATCAGTATATTGTAGAACTTGGTTAAAGAAAGGATTTAATGGTAAGTATTCTTAGTGAAATGAAAATTCTTATATTCAAAACATTTAATAACCTCTGCGTAGACCCTTTTGGGTTAATTTGGATTTCTTTGCTCTGGGTGGGTTGGTTGGTTGGTTGGTTTTAATTTAGCCAAATCAGTTTGATTACAACAAAAGTTCAGTGGTTGAGCTTTCTCTCATGAACTAGGCGTTATCCCTGGAACCTGCTCAGGAGTAGAAAATTTTGACCTGTGCCCCTTCAGCTCAGTGGGGGCAGAACCCACTCTTCTGCCAAGCCACCCACCTGTTAGACACTGCTACCTTCACCAGCCCTCAGGCCCTCAGAGCTGCTTTAAAAATCGCCTTTTTTAAGACCTATAAAATTGGTTCTTGTCAGTTTTCTTTAGTTGGTTGTTGTTAATATCTTGTTTGAATGGATTCTTTTTTTTTTTTTTTTTTTAAGGAAAAACAAATTGCTACAGGCTTTCCTGAAAACTAAAACAGATTTTGTCTGTAATTATTTCTTTTATTCTGTTGTTATTCAACTTGCATTCTTGTTTTGGAACAGGACTGTCAGACAAGGTATAGTCAGGTTTTCAATAAATAAAAGCTGCTGTTCCCTTGCTATATGTAAGAGGAGTTGTCGGCCTGTCTTGTAGATTTATTCTTACTGAGGATTTTAGTAAACTGTCGGGCTGGAAGCATGTTGACGGGATCACTCTTAGCTTTGCCCCTTACTGGAAATAGTTTTTAGAACTATTTAGAATAAATGTTGTGAAATGCAAGTTCCTTAAGTGTGTGTCCATGCTGGTTCATTCCTTAATTTATTCAACACATACCTGTCCCATACCTGCACTGCAGTAGGTATTATTCCAAGGGCGAGGACTACATTCCTTAGCCAAGAGCATTTTCAAAGTTTATCCGAGGAGACAGGGAGATGGCTCAGTAGAATAAGTGCTTCCCTGGCAAGTGCAAGGGTCTGAATTCAATCCCCGGTTCCGCAAAAATAAAATAAAATAAAATAAAGCTTTATCCATTTGGAGAGATCAACAGCAAATAAGCCACCACACACATGCAGTGATGTAAGATGATGGCAGGTGGGTAAGATACACTAAAATAGTTGATAGTAGAATGAGAAAGCCACTGGAGGCTACTTCTGTTGCGTGGGCAGGAAGACTATTCAGAAGAGACAGCCTTGAAGAGGAAAGTTTAACAAAAAAGAGGGGCTGGCCCACATAGATTGGAAAACAGCTGCAAGCCAGGTGTGCTGTCAGCCAATGAGCACCAAGGGAGCAAAAGTCGTACACCAGCCCTGGTGCCTGTTAGGACCAAGCATGAGCTCTGAGAGTCACAGGTGAAGTCTGAAATGATGCTAAATGAATGACTTAGACTATATGCCATGTAAGACATTATAAACAGAGCAAGGTTTTTAAGAGCACAGAAAAGAATACTGTGTATGGAGTATACACCTATTTATTGTAGCAACTCTCAAATGGGTATGTGCCTATAGGTATTTTTAAAATGTGTTTTAATGGCTGGGAATATAGCTTAGTAGCACAGTACCTGTCTGGCAAGTACAAGGTCCTAAATTCGATTTCCAGTACCAGCAAAAAAATATAAAAACTAACATGTTTTGCTTGTTCCTGCCCCTAACACATCCTCTTGTACCTTCCCAGGGAAATAGTGTTCACTCCTTTTCCTGAGAATTCCATCTTAATAAGCCACAACCCTTGACATGTCTTCCAGTGGTGTGGGGGTAAGAACCACGTGTAATGCATTACTGTGCAACTGAATGGGATGCCATGCCTGAGAGGCAGAAGCTGGCTTGGCAGGTCCTTTAGGTTAGGGCTAGAGGAAAGACTGTTAACGTGGATCTGAGCCATCAGGACACAAGAAACAGCCCCTATCAAGATATTGAGTTTAGAGGAGCCAGCTCCAGGGACATCAGCATCTAAGGATTTCCTCTAGTGCTTTTTGTCCTTTTGTTTTACTATTACCTTAAAATGGTAACATCATTTATTCTTACAAATCCTTAAAAACAATTTCTATATTAGTTTGAGTCATGTGGGAAGAACTAACATTTACATAGGTGAGCTAATGCCGCTGAACTCTCAGGCAGCGTAGGAAGCTTGGGCTACAAAACCCTCCTCAAGATTGAGTGAATGCTGCTTGCTCTTGGCCACTTCATTCATCAGCAAAAGATGCCTGTTTCTCATTAGAAGACGTATATGTCATGATTAAAGTGTATCACTGCAACATTAAGGGGAATACCACATACCAGGGCTCAATGCTGCCCTCCCTACTTCCCATCTGCAGTTTATAGAGCATCCTTGTATAACAGTTGCTGTGAAATTTGGCAGAAAAATTCCCAAGCTTGTCTAAAGTTATGGTGTGACAACATGTAAGTTACACTCAGCAAATGTCATTCTATTTTCAGTAAATATTCAAGATGTGATTTTACAAGAAAATTTGGAGAAAGAAGACCAAATTTTGGTGTCACTGGCAGGATTAAAACAGGTATGTACATTGCTCTGACATTCTTAAGTCCTACAGACCACTCATTTAGTGCCTTCTCTGGGTAGGGCTCCTTAGAGGACGTGTACTGTTATTACAGCCAGAGTCCCCTTGCTGCTCATTATCCTCTCAGGCAGAGCCCCTTGCACATCTCTACTTATTTTTGCACCTTGCCCCTCCTAGTAACTCTGTCTGCCTAGCTTGCAGCCCCTTCTCTGCATGGCTCTGTATCCAGAGCAGCTATGGAGCAGTCCACCATCATGTCCAGTCAGTCATTCATTCACAAGATGTGTGTGTATCCTTGGAGCATAGGTCACTACCACTACCCTTCACAGGTCTCAAACCCTCAAAAGCTAAAGTTACTTAAATCTTTCAGGTCTAACTAGGACACACAAGTGTCACTGAGGAGTATGCTTTTCCCAAATGTCTGCCTATGTTACAAAAAGCTCCAGCTCTGGTGGAGCGAGTAGATAAGTAAGGCTGCTCACGTGGGCTGGCTTTGCAGGTAAAGGGTGCTTGCTTCTTAAAGGTAGCTGCCAGGGATGTGATGCCCATGTTTGACCATGGAAGAACCTACCATTAACATCCCGAAATTTTCCTTGGTCATTGTTAAATCTTCAACCTTGATAAAGTTGGGGGAGAGAGTTACACATTATTTCTTTCTTACAGTAAAATATTAACATTAGTACAATAGTATTCCCACCTATATTCCAAACACCCTGTGATGTCTGAAACTATGGATAGGGCTGACTCTATATATATTATATTTTTCCTATACATAAACATAGAATAAAGTTTAACTTACAAATTGGGCATTGTAAGAAATTAACATCATACTATAATAAAAGTTCTGTAAATATGGTCTCTCAAAAATTTTTATTATATTGACTTTGCCTGCCTTCTGATGGTATGACAGAGTGACAACCTGAAGAGATGAAATGAGATGAATGACATAGGCATGTGTGTAGTTTTTGTCTTTAGTTGGTTGTTGTTAATATCTTGTTGAATGGATTCTTTTTTTATTATTATTAAGGAAGAACAAATTGCTATAGGCTTTCCTGAAAACTAAAACAGATTTTCTCTGTAATTATCTCTTTTATTCTGTCTTATTCAACTTGCATTCAACTTGAACACAAGTACAGTGTTACTGTGACAGTTGATATGATAATCAGAACATTAGCATTTAGAGCATGGGTACTCTAGACAAAGAAATTCTAGCTAGGTTGGAATGGGACAGCAAGAGATTGCATCATGCAACTCAGAATGGTGCGTGGCTCTTATTTCCAGAATTGTTGATTTCTAGAATTTTCCATTTGATATTTTTGAACTGCAGTGGGCCACAAAGAGCTGAAACCATAAATAAGGGGAGACTTACTATATAAAACAAGGACAATAACAGGTTTACTTAGAATGTATGATTCAGCTAGCATTTAATCACAAACTCTTTTCATCTTTTATTTATTGTCCTCTATTTTGAAAATAGATCAAAGACATTCTGAAAGGTTCCCTGCGTTTCAACCAAAGCCAGCTGGAGGCTGAGGAGAATGAGCAGATTACCATCGCAGATGACCACTATTGCTCCAGTGGCCAAGGACACAGCAGCCAGGTTCCTGTGGCCACCAAAAAGGTATAATAGTTCTGATGAAATATTATATTAACTCAATGGGAGCCCACTGACATAAGTTCTTCAAAATTATAAATGAGAAAAGTCCCACCACACTAATTCAGGTCACCATGTGGGAAGTTCAATTGTGAAACACCAGAGGTAGCCCAAGCCAGAGGTTATATCCAGCTATGCAGACTGTATAGTGCTGGAGGTGGTGCTACTCACAGTGGTAATGATGAGACTAAAGACTCATAGAGTTGTATAGTGCGTAGCCTATAACTGTGCAGCACAGGCCTGGGCCTCCTGCCATTCTCATTTTGTGGTATTTGAAGCTAGATCTCTGTCATAGTTATTGATTCGCTGGCCCCAACTTGTGTCTCCATTCCTTTAGCACAAGCAGTACTATCCCTGTTTTCTTAGATGTCTTCAGTGGATTTCACATGACTTGAACTTTTTGTTTTGTTTTGTTTGGTTTGGGTTTTTTTGGCAAGTTACTTTCTTACTTTCATGGAAAAAAATTTCTAATTAATGTCCATTCTCTAAGTCAAGAGTCAGTAAACTTTGCCTATAAAGGACCAGATAGTACTTTAGGATCTGCAGGCCACATATGGTTACCTCTTTTTGGTCCCTCTAGTCACTGGCACAAAATACCCAACATGTACAACCCAACATGTCTTTTATTCTGTTCTTCTTCAACTTGCATTCAACTTGAACACAAGTACAGTGTTACTGTGACAGTTGATATGATAATCAGAACATTAGCATTTAGAGCATGGGTACTCTGGACAAAGAAATTCTAGCTAGGTTGGAATGGGACAACAAGAGATTGCATCATGCAACTCAGAATGGTGCATGGCTCTTTTATTTCCAGAAATGTTGATTTCTAGAATTTTCCGTTTGATATTTTTGAACTGCAGTGGGCCACAAAGAGCTGAAACCATAAATAAGTTTTACTATATAAAACAAGGTCAGCTGCTTATCCATTGGCAGCCAGAAAGCAGAGAGGACGAGGAGGAGCCATCAGGGAAAAAGAATGCACCCTTCTAGGTGATGCCCCAAGTGACCCACCTCTAATCAGGACCCAACTTGTAAGAGCAGTTGGTTTATCTGTGAACTCAGGAGTGGAGCTGACGACTATAGTGATGTAGTCGTCTTAGTACAGGAGACTTTGTGGGACATTGTAGATCTAAACCGTAACAACCACCTTTAAAAATGTGTAAATCATCCTGTGGTTGAGGACTATTGCTGACTCTTACCCTCAGGTGCCAAAATTGTATATAATTTATTATAAGAAAATCACAGGATTTCTTAAGCTGGAAAGGATTGTAGAGTTCCTTTAGGTGGTTAATCCTGTCTGCTTATTCTGGCATTGAGAAAACAAAGGCCAGAGAAGCATGCAGGCTCACAGTGCAGAGAACACCTGCCTGCCTGGCATTCCATTCTTGGATCCTTTGCCCCTACGCAGTAAGCATCAGTTCCGGCATGTGCGTCACTGTGCATTTTCTGACAAGACTACAAGATGATTCAGTTTCTACTTGTATTTTAAATGTTTAATAATGTTTTTAAAAAACCTTGTGGTTTCATCAAAAGAAATGAACTTTGGTTTGCTTATCTAGATCATTTTCTCAAGACTACCATCCAGATGCTTGTCTTTTTGTGCATTTTTAAAACATCAGAATGATATTTGAATGGGAATTTTTTTTTAAGTTTTTAGGATATTCCTAAAGAAGGCACAACTTTTTCTAAATTCCTTATAAAGCTGTTTAAAATTGTCATGGAGCTGTGGATCCGCATTTTTAGGCCCACAGATATAACATAGACATTACAAATTTTAATTTGATTATTTCTTCCAAATTCCCCGTGCCTCTATTGATATTTTTATAATCATTTATTTATTCAAATATTATTGTGCAGGGGCTGGTGAGATGGTTCAGTGGTCTAAAGCACC